CAAACTATAATGAAATAAGAAATGAAACTTTTATTTAATTTTTTATTTACCCACTTTTTTCTATCGCACCACATGTCTATCGATAGATATAAATCAGTATTGAATTATTGTCCAGCATAACGCTGACGCTCTGTTACAGGTGATGGGAGACGAAAGCAATTAGGGAGGAAATCAGATAAAATGTTTGAAAATGTCTGACATGAGTGCATCACAATGACACGTCAACAGCTTAGGAAAAGGATGTGTCTGGTTGAAATAGCATCCCCTGCAGACACGATCAGTCTTTTGTAAAGAGCTGCACGAGTAAATTGGGGGGAAAACTCTGTGATGCTTGGATCAAACGTGTAAAATATTAGTTTTACAACCAGATTCTGAAAAAAAAATAATTCAAGCAGGAGAAGAAATCATAAAGAGACAGATGGGAAAAGATATGAATCTGTGTTGAAAGTATGACCTGGTTTGATAGACAGTCATGGACGGCCGCTCGCTGCTCAGAGAGTTAATTATCATGAAGCAGGAAGATTTTTTGTGAAAGCAACTCCTGTGAAACTCAGCAGAATTGATTCTGTAAGAATATCTTGTCCATAGCTGCTCTCCCTCGCCATCTTTGATTGGCAGGGCGCCATATTTCATGTGCAATTTTCCATCTTCATTCTGACACCTCATACACACACAGCCTCACTCCTATTTAAGCATTCCACCTTTGCTGCTAGGACTGCAGTCAGTCACACACGCTTTTCTGACCTCACACTTTTCTTCCTGCAACACTCAACACCTCATTATGTCTGTCACTTCTCAGCCCTCCCTCCCTCTCATACTTTGGCCCGGCACAGCGAGTGTGTGTCACTGTGTTAGCTGTGACAGTCAGATATTGAACCTTGTCAACCAAGTAGCCACCTACACTCAGCATCAATCTGAGTAGCTCCAGTCCTGTAATCCCAGCAAATTCAACCCCCAACACACACCCTGTCCATGCGTGCCCTCGTGTAGGCGTGCATGGTACTAACATGTTCAAATTAGTAAAAGAATACTGTAGTTTCAGACAGAATAATTATGTGCGCATGCACACAGACACAAGAAAGAAAAGAAAAGCTGGAGCTTAGTGGCGTTTGTTTCCCACAACATCCAGGACGCTATTTTATTCCAGTTGAGAGGAGAGAATGTGGTAGAAATCGCATAAACACTGCTATCATTCTAGGTCATTAATATCCATCCATCCATGCAGACATGTTCACAGCAAAAAGGGGAAAGGAACAAAATGAAGTGTGTGTGTGTGTCAGTTCTTTATCCTGCAGCAATGTGAGTGTGTGTTTATACGCTGCTGGCTGCTGTCAGCGTTCGCTGCTCTTATCACGGCAGCATATGTCTGTCAGTGGGGCTGATGTGTGCCTCTGGTGGACGCCAGACAGCACAATTACAGCTTTATGTACAGGTGCTATTCCAGCAATTAGACTTACCCCATTGGAGTGAACATGCGGTCCAGAAAACCACTGGTTCAGCAAAGTTTGCTAAACTAACAAAGATGCCAAACACAAGACATCTGACTGGACAAACTGATGCAAGTTAGACTATGACAGTAATGTAGAGTAATAACGGTAATGGGACTTGTGACTCTTTGAAGGGAGGGTCGTTTACCTCAAAGGACCCATTCGAAAGACTGGCGGAGCAATCTCTGTGAGAGCGGGGGGGGGGGGGGGGGGTGTTTAGTGAAAAGCAGGTTTGTTTGCTAAAAACCATAAAGACAGGAGTGCCTCCAGAAGGTTTACAAAAGGGGGGCCAAATGGGGGCCACTTATAATCTTGGGCTAGCACACCAAAACAACAAAGAACTGTCTTTTGTAGGAATGTCCCGATAAACTTTGTCACTTCCGATACAATACCGATATTGCAGCCTTCAGCATTGGCCGATACCAATATAAATCCAATAAGATATCGGCACAAATCATACACACTTTTACCTATTTCGTAGTGTGGAATGTATGAAGGCCTTGATCAAGTTATATTACTCAATCAGAGAACAAGAGCAAATAACAGTAAGTATGAAAAAATGACAACTTTTTTTAACCACTGGTTGCAAAAATGTGAACCATAACGGACTGCTTATATCGGAGATTTTTGATGTAGTCTGATATAATCCGATAGTGTTTTTGGGCCGATATCGAATTACTTCCGACATCGATATCGGAACGGGACATCCCTAGTCTTTTGCAAAAGACCAATACTACATCACCAAACGTCTTCAGACACTCAAACAGATGGGTGAATCCAGGTGTTTTAATGAAAGCATGGATGAGTGAGTTTGGTGTGGAACCTTTGTGGAAAGCATTCCCAGGAGAGCTGAAAAAGGTGGGCCAATTCTATAATAAACCCTACGGATCAAGAATATGATATAATTAGGGTTTAATAAACATATAGCAATATTTGTTTAGTATCTATTGAGACTGTTATGTACCAGCCCCTAAAAGAAAGTTCAATAAAAACTTGAATTTCAAAAAAAAATAAAACATGGCAGACGAAGAGATAGAATTCTTCTCACTGATCGGACTTATGTTAAGCATAATTCTGAGCACACGAAGACGCATAAGAGACCTGGATGATGAAGCTCAATGGTTAAAGGAATCACGGAAGTGGAGTGAAGCGCTCCGTCGCGCTTCTAGGAGACGGTACCGTAGGAGGCGAGCTGCCATGGTTCGCCTCATGCTACAGCAGCGAGCTATCTAGGTGCGCACAGCGTCCCCCTGTCCCCTCCTCCTCCCCCTCCTCCCTGTCCGGAACTCGACCTCACCAGTCTGAAGCAGCCACCTTGTCCGTGACAAGTCCGGACCTGTTACTAGGGGCGTTGTCTGGTTTGATTACGGAAAACGTTATCCGGATGTTTGTATTCAGACACAAAGGTCTTACGGACAGAGTCCTGAACATTTCCGTTTTTCATGGCCAGTCTGAAGGGGGCTTTAGTCTATCCAGGTCAATCTTATTGTAATAAGCTGGGAGTCTTTATACTAGTTTACATGCGCATTAGAAAACCAGCCTCTCAAATAAAGTTTGTTCCACTCCGGGACAGTAGGTGGCGACATGCCCTTTTTTATGTCGGCATTTTTTCGGTTATCTCATAGGAACACAATCAGTAAACAGAGGCTAGCAGGAGTGAAGCAGACAGAATTGAAACAGGATATGCATAATGGCTGAAGGAATGTACAAGAACAACATTGCAACCTTGTGATGATGGTCTTATCAGAAGACTGCTTCCGCAGTATCGTCACTTCCGGAATGCAAGCGCCCAACCAGTTCAGTTCGGCTGGCCTGTTTACATGCAAGATATATTCAGATTGCTACTGCATTATCTGGGCTCGATTAGAACCAGTCCGCTGTCAGCTAGATTAACGTGTTTGCATGCAATTTAAAATGCAATTTAAAAAACAGTCGTGAGTCTTTTCAGGGCAATACTTCGGTTTTCTGATGCGCATGTAAACGCACTGATTGTGTCCTGGTTTGGCCCCGGGGTTTCCTTCTGGAAGGGCATGCCCAAGACAACTTATACCAGGGGTAGGCAATCCTGGTCCTTTAGTGCTGCTATGCAGCATGTTTTAGTTGTTTCCCTGCTCCAACACACATAATTCAATGACTGAATCACCAGTTGACCGGATTTTCAAGCTCTGTTGCAGCCTGTTAATCACCTGCTGATTAAAATCAAATCAATAAAACAACTAAAACATGCTGGATAGTGACACTTGAGGACCAGGATTGCTTATACAGTCAGTGTACATTGATTTCTTTCCACTATGATGGATAAAAACTGACTACTACAACTCATTCAACTTTGCTCTCTCCACATTTAAATTCACAAGCATAAAATTACTATGCATATGAATCCCACTTGGGGACATCACAGAGAAGAGCCACAAAGACATGCCAAACAGCCACAGCAAACAATGTTTTGTTTGAAAGTCTTGTGCTGAATGAGTCTTTTCACCTGGACTCAAGACTATTTATAGTAACAACATTTATGTAAATGGCAACCCATTGAACATCTGAACTCATTCAACAAGCATGCTACTTAACCTGTTCTAAGTTTCTGCACAAACAAAACCAAATCAGAGTCTCCCAACTCATCCCGTAGTTTCACAGAGATGCATCCTTGCTGCCCATTGCTAAATCAAACCCTAGCTAGAGTCAGGAGTCAGTAAAGCCTTTTACAGCCAGGCTCGGGGCGGGCGCCAAGAGAAGACCTGTGGGGCCAAAGGGACAGCAGCACATAGGTCTATTGACAGCAGCTCTAACACGTTTGTCCATCATCTATATGTATCCACTCACACCTGACGACCTGGTTAAGGCTTCATCATCACCTCTCAGACTGGGTCAGGCTTTCTGCTCTGACTGAACAGCAGGGACATCAGAATAAATTAAATCATCACAGCACAGAATCAACAAAGGGAGGGTAATAATAATAATAATAATTCCAGAAAATTGTGTTTATGTTGTGCTGCTGTGTTTTGAATGAAACTCAACACGTGGTATGAATTCAGCTAACTTAAGAGGAAAAGTCAATTAACTGTTTATTATAATGTTGCGGCTCGGCGGGAGGGACGACCACTGGAGTTATTTGCTCTTTAAGAGGCTTTTATTTCGTAGTTTTATCAATAAAACGAACACAAACTGCTCCGTGCAAACTCCGTGCCTGGAGCTGCGGTGAGACTCCTCCAGAGACGTTCAAAACATGTCAACAGCAGTACTCCGATACACCAAAGGTGCGTTCTGTGACATCTTGTAAATAAGACTTCTCTAAACAAAAACTGTCCACATGAACTAAACATGAAAAAAAAAGAAGTGTGGGGTACCTTTGAACCAATAAACAAGTAAAGTTTAACCACTTACATATTTTCACCTAGTCTGACCCCAACAGTATCTGTATCTCTCACAATAATTTCCATGTGAAATCACGTTTTTAGATTGTTATAAAATAATGGGAATTAAAGGTACGGATTATATTGAAAAAATAATTACCTTGATTATCCTCGTCCATGACTACACCCAACAAATATAAAACTCCTAAAAATCGCTCCCAAAAACTTCCGTTACGTTTGATTTACTCAAAATGTCACACGTCCTAATTTCCAGGACGCGTTGGGTTGTGTACAGGTAGTGTTACGGGCAGCACCGTCTCTCTTCTGGAAATGTTGTGGCCATTTAAAAATGCCTCACGGATAGTCGTCCCGGTTCCTCCAGTCCGTTTCTGTCTGGCGGTCTGTCTGTAGAAGCAGCAGATTGTCTTTAAGCTCTCAGTGACCGAGCCCGCTATCGTTATCCCTCCAAATACGCCTTCACTCCACTCGTATCAAGAGAGGAGGCTACGCTGCTGCAGCAAGCTACCAAACACACGGAAAGACTAACACCGGAAGTAGAGCTAATGTTTATAAAATAAAGGAAACATGTCGCGGTGGCATTCCGTTGTGACCTTTACTTTGAAACTCATTCCAGGAAGTTGTCTTTGTACATTTTTATTCGGAAACTCTCGGTGTTAAATCCTCTTCCCAGCTCTCAGCTCGTGCTACGCGTCAGCGTTGATCAGCCTCACGTGACCCCAGGCAGCACCCCAATCAGACTTTATTTATATTCATTCACTTAATAGTGTTGTATTTATTCATACATACGGAAACACTTTTGCACCACTATGGTGAAATAAAAAAAATCAACGTGAGACATTATGACTATTGGAATTTACTATTCTCCTTTTTAAGACTCAGCTTTTATGATTGTATTCTCATAATTATGCTTTAGACTCTAATACCTACATCAGTAATATGCCTTATTTTCATAACATATATCTCATAATTAAGACCTAATATTTCATAATAGTGACTTAGCATTTTATGTTTTTAATTTTCATTTTCATAACTACAACTTAACACATTTTTACCTAACATCTCATTATTTGACGCAGCAAATCACACCCATCACGTATCAGTGTTATATTTTGACTTTTCTAAACCTGACTGTCTCAAAGTTGGGGATTAGCATGTGATACTTATTAGTTAGTAATATCATAGCTACATTAGTGTCACATTTTCAGCGTGTGTTTATAATAATAATAATAATAATAATGCCTAGTAACATGTATCCATGCTGTTCCTTTATTAAGTTCTCAGTCATCAATTCTTTGTAACTGATTTTGTGGGATTTATATGATGAGTTTACACCGTTTGTTCTTCAGAAACATTTAGTTGTATGGATCTTTGGAGAGAAAAAAATCCATAGTGTCCTGACCGGCTGTAAAGCAATCAGAATTGGTGTCTGAGTATGAATGACAAGCCTTACAGTTTTATACTGCTCCATCTGTGAGAGCACAAATATAGCTTTCAGCCATAATTGCCTCGCCTGATACCCAAACTTTATTAGATGTATTTTGGGTTGTTTTAAATCCTAACAGACACGGAGACAGAAATGAAAAAGAAAAGGGAAAGAGGAAAGGAAGAGGTGGGGGGAAGTTCACAAAAATAAACAACAAAGGATGTAAAAGAATCTGCTTCTAGACCTACAGGAAGAGAGGGGGGGGGGAGAGAGAGAGAGAGGGAAAGAGAGAGAGAGGGGGGGGGGAAGAGAGAGAGAGAGGGAAAGAGAGAGAGAGAGAGAGAGAGAGAGAGAGAGAGAGAGAGAGAGAGAGAGAGAGAGAGAGAGAGAGAGAGAGGGGGGCACAAAATACTACACGTAAAATCACACGTTAGCAAGCATCAGCAGAGCCAATAGATGAGCTTATGGACGGTTCTAATAGGGAGCCTAACCAACCTTTTAAGTCACACCCATCTACTTATGGACCACGGGTCCCCGGAAGAAGGAAAACAATGAATGCAAGTCAATGGGGCTAAAAACGCTATTTTCTAATTCCGCTTGTTTTGTGCCACAAATTTCACATATGATGTCCGTGAATTTTAAAGAAGCATTTTGATACCAAAAACGCGCTTGTTATCGAACGGGAGACAATATTTTAGGTTCTGTGTGAAAATAAGTCCAGGACTACAAATGTGCTTCACGAAAGTGACGTCATTGAACCAGACAGGAAAAAGGGCTGTAAGTTCAGCAAACTTCTCACAGGAGGAAAGAACCATCATAAATCTGGTCATTTGGTAAGTAGCAGTGACTTTGGGGAGAGAAGATGATGTGGTGACGTGCGATTTCTAGTTTGTAGCCATGCTAATTACGAACTTTTACAAGCTAATAAATCTCATAGTACTTGACTGGCGTGGTCGAAACACCCATCACTACTTTTCATTTAAATTGCAGTACAATATATGTACGATCCAGGGCATGAGGCAAAGAAAACAAGATTTTTAGCCCCGTTGACTTGCATTCGTTTTTTCGTTCTGCCGGGGACCCATGAGCCAGCTGGAAGTGGAGGAGACTTAGGCTCCCTATGGGAAACAGGCTTCAACCATCGGCTTCCACACAAGCAGTAGTTTTCCGCTTGGTCCTAGTGCTCAGCCAGTGTCTGTTTAATATAGCATAATATTGTTTTTGGACAGTAAAAAGTGCAAGGGTCAAAACCTGACTTTGGAAAAAGTAAGACGACATCACTTGTGAGAGCACCAGTGTGTGTATACATGCACATGAGTATGTAAGGTTTCTCTATAGAAGTGTTTAATAGTGAGAATGAAGGGCCGCAGACCTGCCCCTAAAGACCTGCAGAAGGAGACGAAGATGGACTCTTGGGGGCCCGCGCTTGATGAGGGCAGGATCGGCGGTAACTGGAGGCAGAGACGCAGGAGGAGACGTCTTAGACTTCTGGACTGGAGGCGGAGTCGACGACCTCCGGGCTGGAGGCGGCGGCGTCGGCCTCCGGACTGGAGGCGGCGTCGACCGCCTCCGGACTGGAGACGGCGTTGACCACGGGACTGGAGACGGCATCGACCACTGGACTGGAGGCGGCGTCGACCACTGGACTGGAGGCGGCGTCGACCACTGGACTGGAGGCGGCGTCGACCACTGGACTGGAGGCGGCGTTGACCACTGGACTGGAGACGGCGTCGACCACTGGACCGGAGACGGCGTCGACCACAGGACTGGGGGCATCGACCTCCATCGACTTCTGGTCCGGAGGCGTCAACTTCTGGAGTGGATGAGGCGTTGACCTCTGGAGTGAATGAGCCATCAACCTCTGGAGTGGATGAGGCGTCGACTTCAGAACACGAGGAGGCGTCGACTTCAGAACACGAGGAGGCGTCGACTTCAGAACACGAGGAGGCGTCGACTTCAGAACATGAGGAGGCGTCGACTTCAGAACATGAGGAGGCGTCGACCACAGGACTGGAAGTGGCTTCGACCACAGGACTGGAAGTGGCGTCGACCACAGGACTGGAAGTGGCATCGGCCACAGGACTGGAAGTGGCTTCGACCACAGGACTGGAAGTGGCTTCGACCACAGGACTGGAAGTGGCGTCGACCACAGGACTGGAAGTGGCATCGGCCACAGGACTGGAAGGGGCATCGGCTACACGACTGGAAGGGGCGTCAGCCACAGGACTGGACGAGGCGTCGACCACAGGACTGGAAGGGGCGTCGACCTCCATCGACTTCTGGTCCAGGGGCGTCGATTCCTGGTCCATCGACTTCTGAACCGTCGACTTCTGGACCGTGGACTTCTGGACCATCGACCTCTGGTCCGGGGGCGTCAACTTCTGGTCCGGGGGCGTCGACTTCTGGTCCATCGGCGTCGACTTCTGGTCCGTCGGCTTCTGGACCCTCGACTTCTGGACCCTCAACTTCTGGACCATCTGCCTCTGGACCGCCGGCTTCTGGAGTGGAGGAGGAGTTGCTGCAGACGGGACCGCTTGGACAGGCTGGACCAGATGCGGTGCGACCTCCGGGACCACCGCTGGAACTGGTGGTACTGGAAACTGGGAGAGGAAGGAGGATAGAGTGTCCAGTTGGAGCTCCTGGAGACTGAGGCTCTGATGGAGTTGGGCCAGCTCAGCTCAGAGACCGGCAAGCTCTGCTGGGTGGACTGCAGGCTTGCTCCTCTGGCTCTGAGACGAGGGGGCTGCTGGCTGGACTGAAACCCTCTCCTGGTGATTCGGGGAAGACAGGTTGTCCAGATGGGACTCCTTGAGGCTGACGAGCTGACAGATCCAGCCAAGCTCCGCCTGCAGATCTGCGAGCTCTGTCAGCTGGGCTGTGGGCGTGGTTCCTCCGCCTGCAGATGACGGAGGTGCGGATTGGACCGGAGATGGGACTGTTGGTCTGACTGGGGACGGGTCCAAGCAGGTGCGCAGAGCCGGGGCAGCGGCGAGCTCGCGGCTCCGTCCTGGGACACAGGATTGCGGTGGAGCCCGGCTTCCTTCCCTATGCCGTGGGCCAGCTCCGGGGGAGCACACAGCCAGTCTGGTGCCCATGAACTGGAGCGATCCGGATGCGTCTCCCGGTCCAACCTCTCATCTGGCTCCGGAAGGGTGGAGAGGAACGCCGCGGCTGAAGCCCGGTGACGGCGTCTGCGGCGAGGCGAAGGCGAAGCCGGAGGAGGAGAAGAAGCCGGCCGGTGTTCCGAAGAGAGGAACTGGAGCAGGCACTCCCAGGGGAGAATCTCCCCACTGGATCCTTTCACGGGTTGGATCATTCTGTCAGACGCGTGCCGGTGAGTGAAGCGGAGGCAGGATCCACACGCGGGTGCAAAGGCAGGCAGACAAGCAGGAATGGTTTAAAGGCTTTAATACGAAACACGCTGACACAGAAACAATGATCCAACACGAGACAAAGAACTAAAGGGGTTTAAATACAAGAGGGTTGGGAACTTGGGTGATTGGAAAACGAGAGGCAGGTGGGAGCAATTAACAGAGACGCATGACTAAACCATAAGGGGAGACAGGACAAGGTGTGACAGGATGATTGTGTGAATACTGTGAATAGGTTTTATCTGTGACATTTGTGTGACTGGTCCCACGTAAGACCCCAGTTATAAATATAAAAAGTATTTTTCTTATTTTAATGAAAAAAAAAGTGTTTTAATAAAATGTGCTCATCAGTATTTAAGAATATAATATGCTGGTATTTTACAGCATTTTATGATTTATTTTTATCATCAGTAATTCCCTGGACATGTTTTAATGATCTAGCTGTTAAAGCTGACGTGAAATACTTTGCATTATGCTAGGTAGTTTAACCCATTTGGAACTATTCTAATCATTAATTATGCCAGGTTTAATAGGTTAATATATGATTATGTACATTTTATAACATGATTATGGGAATTTTTTATTGAATCTAAATTTATGATTAATGTAAAAAATAAATCTGTGGGAATAAAATGTAGCAAACACACAAAATATTCATTATTCATTAAATGTAAAGATTTTGTAATATTTGTAGTTGTAGATT